AATAATGATTGAAGTGACAGTAATACAGTCAGACCTCACACTTCCCAGATTTTGCGGATAGTAATAGTAAAATCACCCCCTAGTCACATACTAATCGTAATAATCACTATCACACTTGTTGAGAGATAGTAAATCGACCCCTTTACAGTCACTTTACGTGACTTAAATTTGTGTTCACCCCAAATTATTTTTGTTGCAGATCATACTAATACACTCGTTGTTTGTTAAACTCGTTATGCTCGTAGCAGCGACAAAAAAAAGATCCCGTTCACAAATAACTGACAACATATCTGTGATTATGCGCAGAAGTTTCCTAATAAAAAACACCAACCCATTGCCGATTTGTTCAATGATCAATATTCAACCCTTAGTATTGACAGGTCCATCATGTTACTTTAGTGCAGATAAATAGTCAAAGAGCACAATCACATGACATAATAATGAAAAATTTTTTGTAGTCACACCTCCATATAGTCAACACAAAAAAATGAAATAGGTGACTGTAGAGGGGTCTGACTGTAATCTAATACTCATTTGGAAGTTGTCAGATGTATGCATATCCATAAGTAAATAGTTTTTTCACTGAGAAATTTTGTTCGTGATTCGACCACAATGCCCAAGAAAAGCCAGAGGAAAAAGCGGCAACAGCAGTTGGATTTTAAAGTACAGTTAAATGTTGATTGATCAGGACTTGCGTTAGTTCCAAATTGCATGTTCTTACAAATTTTATGTTCAGAAACCCAAACTAAAAGTTGGTAAAAAAAAGACATTGCCTTCAAACCACACTAATATATCATTCAAATCGAAAGGTATTGCTCTTTTTTATTGAATTTTTTGCTCTCTTACCGCATTGATATAAAACATTCATAAAATTGTCATTAGCAATCATACTTCCCAATCAAAGCATAACTGAAGATAAATCGCATGAATTGACCAATTCAAGAAATTTGACTCTTAATGACCTTGTTACGCAACTAAGACATTACAGTGCGAATGTTAGAAAAGGTATTCAAACTTGTATATAGTCTTTTATATTGTCATGATGATAGTATTAATTTGCGTATGATTTCTACGGCAGATGCTCTACTCGGCCTGAAAGATTTATTCAATCGATATCCCCAAATTTTACCGGCATCTTTATCTTTGGTTATTAATACAATAGTTAGGCTCTTGGTAGATGAGGTATGAAATTGTAACGTCGCTATACTTATACTAGCTTTTAAAAACCTAATATTAACAGTGTTTATAAAGGATGCGACATTACGAAGAATTTTGTTATCGTTTATGAACGAATTTATACCAATTCTGAGCGAGGTACATTTTAAATTCCTTGACTGAATTAAACGCGTGTTACATAACGCTAAAGCCTATGCAACTTTTAGAATGATTTTCGCCCATATCTACCACTTTTGATTATTTATACCTGTTCAGCAATGACCCACATTCACGAAGATATAAGAACAGATGCGATTAAATTTATGGATATTTGGCTAAACCTTGCCCCCGATGTGGTTACTATTGGGTTTTGGAAAAAGGTGAGATTAGTCATACTCGTTTACAACGATTTAGTAAAAGCTGTACGAAATTCAATGACAGGAATTAACGAAAGATGATCACCTTCCAGATACTTCCAAATTATGTTAGCCTGCTTGGCTCTGATATGAGCTTAGGACAAACGGGAATGCCAGGTGAGGAATTGTTTATTCTGAAGGTTGTATGTGTAGACAATTCTTACACAACGTAGTTCTTGATCAAACAAAGGCGTCGGAACATCCTCTCTCACGTTTCTTAACCCTCGAAGTCAAATAGTATCGCAAGAGGTAACATGTGAGCGACATTAACCCCCGTATACTTATTATCCATTA